TTGCGAGAGATTTGTAGCGGCCTCAAATTATCAGGTAGGTCAGCATTTTAGGGAATGTTATGGTACATCTACACACACACACAGATATATATATATATATATATATATATCTGTGTGTGTGTATATATATATATATGGTCGCCCCCCCCCTTTGACAGACCATGCCCTTTGATGCCTCTCCCCAGGCATGATCTGTCAACGGATGGGCGACAATGACCTCTCCCAAACTCAATTCCAAAACATCCAAGAAAATTCCAAAACTTGCCAAATTTCCTCCCCCTAACTCACACATGAGCTCATGTACCTGCTTAAGCCACGGTCGTGGCTGTGTTTTTTCCACCTCTTGACTCACAATCGCTGCTGGTTTTCTGCTGGTGCTGGGCAGCTGGACTATGGTACGCATGAGGGTTTCCGCCAGCTTTTGCGATGCGAGATACGAGAATCTCGTACATCCACAGGGCCAACGGTGCAATTTGCAGAGATGCCCGTCAAGCGCAATGTCTGTATGATGTAGTCGAAGTCCTACGAAACCAGAGTGCTTGGTGGTGCATTGGAAACTCGGGCCTTTCATCTCGGCATGTGTGGCCAACTGAGTCCTGAGATCTCTCCTGTGAGCTCGAGGTGCTCTCGCCAGCTGCCAGGTGTGAGTTGACGAAGCAGAACGAGGTGGATCCCATGACCTCTTGAAAAAGAGCCGCAAACTCTCTGTTGAAAACAGGCGCATGCACAAGATGCTGAGTAAACACTCAATCTAGGCACCCAGACACCTTTCCCTGACAAAAGCTTTCCGCCGTCCCTCACAACCGCAATGAGACGGAGTTCGTGGAGGTTCATGGGGCATGTGCACAGCCTATTCAAGCCCGTCGCACACTGCAGTCACCGGACTGGGTGTGAGCAGACATACAGCTTCACGCATCACTCGGCGCTCACAGGCCGAATCTCAACCAAAACTCCACGAATTCCCTGTGAGCGGCAAGCCCAAAAGCCACCGCGCCCTTGTTGCCAGCACCCAGTGTCCCACAGCGGGCGGATCCCCAGCAAGTCCTGAAGTCTCGGCCAGGTCCTAGACTGGCACAAAGATCAGAATGTAAAATAATGTAACCCGAGAGTCTGGGACACCTTCGGTGCCAAATCATCAAGAACATACAGCAGCAACTGCAATCCAACCATGGCATAGTCGGCCAGAAGCCTGTACTCGCCTCGATTAGCTGCAAGCTTGCAATGTACACTAGGCCGTTGCCCTTTAGACTCTTTGCACCCGAACCAGTGCTGGCAAGCAGCCTCGATGCTTCACGGCTGCTGTGACCGCAGAGCTCCAGGCTTTGTGATATTGTGCACTGGCGATCTCTGTCACGTCGATTGCAAGCGCCAATGGGCACGTCTCCTGGAGTGCCACGAAAATAATGTCCTGGGGTTCCGAGCTGGCATGGGAAGTGCAAATTCGATCGGTTGGAGTTGGGGATTTAACTTTGCAATGAAATCGAACTCAAGAGATCGATCTTCTGACATGCACACCGTCCCGAGCACCTTCTGTCGATAGTTACATGTAACCTGTATATCCAGGCCATGCTACAACCCACGTAAACATTTTGCACAATGTCACTCCTGCAACAACTGTGAGAACAGCGTGCAAAGGACTCGGAGTTTTTAGGGAGGTTGGAAAGCTTCGACCTCAAAAAGTCCGTACTGTTGCGGCAAGCCTTAACTACCAGTGATTCCTTGAAGCCTCAAGCTTTGGCCATTTGGCCATACAGTCTCAATGCGCACCCTACTCCCCAAAGCCTGCTCACCAAACTTGAAAGCCCAGCCAATTCCAAGCTTTGGCAAGCAACACACTCAAAATCCCAACTACAATCCGTCGTCACTCTCGCTTCCAGACTGCGACTCTCAACATTCGGAAGCTGCAAAGACCACCGACCACTCACACACAAAAGGTGCAGGCGACGTGGAGCGACTTTCGGAAAACACTCTTGCACTTTGTAGCAACATTACCCGAAAAGTATATCAAAGTACAGTTTCCAATGGGAATGGTGGGGTTCACGGGTAGAATAGGTGACCAAAATCCTTGCGAATGCATCTGCGAAGCGTCACAAGCAGTGGCGATACGTCGGTGAGCATGGAGGGGTCTTGGGTCGCTTTGGGGGGTGGCGTCCTGGTTCGTCTGAGACGGCGACGATTCAACTCGTGGCATGCAGTGGAAGGAGCTAGCAGCCACGAGCAATGAAATCAAGACTGACTGCATCTATATAGAACAGACAGCGAAAGCGTGGCACTGGAAGCTGGGATCAAGTTGCAGCAAGTGTCTGGCAATGGCTCGCCCTCCACAAAGAAGTTGTGGATGTCGTGAGCCATGGGTTTCTGGGAAGAAGCACAGTTGAAAGTCACCTCGCAAGCTAAGATTTCCCCCTGCATGACAACCGCTGACCCGATGACCTTGCGTGCAGTCCCTGGCACTGTCATTATACTGCGTCTCGCTTCTTCTGAAAACTCTGTCTGACGTTCCTTCAAAAATGGCTGGATCTTCCTCGGTGACAAGCCATGCAACAAAACTCGATGCCAGCTCCTGTTGAGCATTGCTTGTGTCGCCATGCCCTTTTAGCCCAGCATCTTCCATGATATATGCGGCTCAACAAGCATACTGATGTGCCTTGGGTTGCCATGTGCAACACTGCACATCGCAGATCGAGCGCTTCCAGAAGCAACACACCCTACGACACAAAATCACATTCCGACGAGGAACGTGTCTTGAAATATCAAAGATGTCATCTTGTCGGGCTTCTTTCGCTGCCACATGGGTTGTGAAGCTTTCTGGACGGCCAGGGGTAGCCGATCAACGCCGTAGCCTGGGTACAACCCTCGAATTGAACTCCACTAATTTTCCGGCATCGTCAAAACACACCAACCTGTGTGGAAGGCACCGTGCGTGACGTGATCGTACGTAGGTTTGGCTGAGAGGGTGTTGGAAGTCGGGATATGGATGCATATGGATAACAGTGGATAACATCGAAAGGACCAAGTTTGTCAAGAGTGGCACCAAACAAACAGTCACGGTAGTTGCGGCACACAGGTTCTGTCTTGAGCATCTTAGTGACGCAGACGAGTGGCTGTAGATCCAGTCGTGATTCGTCTCTTTGGACGGAAAGAAATACCGATGGCTGTGAGCAGTGCTGTGTAACTCTTCCAAGCACCCCGCAAATTCCTCGCAAAATCAGCACAGCGACGGCAGGACAGTGGTGGAGAGAGAAGATCGCATTCCGGCTCAGGTTTCCGGCCTCTGGAGTCAGCCGAATACCTTTCCCAGTTTTCTCGACCCTCTTCTGGCTGCCAAAGCCCTCCACCAAGCCATCCAAGACCAAGAAAACCTTAGGACCGACCGACAGGGAGCGGCTCAAAGAGCGGACACAGATGGACCAAAGAATTTTCTACGTGGGTTCTGGGAGCAAACCTGCCACGCAGGTGATAATTCAAGCGAGGCAGCTTGACCATCAGGCCGCGCCTGGGTTGACGGTGGAACTCGGCAGAGTTCCACAACAAGGTTTGTGCATAACGGGACCGCGAGGAGGAGCTCCCTGGAGCACATCCAAGTGAGAGTCCCCGGTAAGTGTACTGAGTGCTTGCGTCCTGCCATGTCCTGCCTCCTGGTGCCACAGCAGTCACCATGACCAAGAATGAAGACAGCAGCCTCAGTCGGCCTGAGTCGGTTGCGCACCAGCAGAGCATGCAAGGCCGTTCGAGTGACGACGTCGTTGTCAAGCACATCCACGACCGTGGAAGCCTGCAATGTCTGTGATAGTGGCTTCGTGCATTGTAAACCGGGTTCCCAGGCCAGGCCTCTGCATAACCAAGCAGTTCCTCACTTGGCTGCACAAAGTGTAGAGGCTCAGGGGGAGCATCGAAGAGTCCACAGAAGAACTCCATCGGCCTCTCGTTGCAGTGCCACGCAATGTTACGCAGCTACGGAGATGCCATGCCCTCGATGGCATGTGCTCCTCGGCGCACAGAGGCCGTGCAGCAGCACATGGCCAGGACATGCTAGTTTCTTGTCCTCACATGTCAGTTGTTCCATACAATTTCAGGTTCGCAGAAAAGCCGGAAGGGCTCTGTCTGAAATGAAAGCTTGTATCTTGATATTTTTCTGGCGACCTTAGGCAGGTCGCGAGCTGGGTAGCGGATCTCCAAACCCGGATACACCGGAGCTTTGCTTCCCTGAGCTTTGCTCGACATGTTTCAGATTTCCGAGCCTTGGGTCGCACAGTGAACTGGAGACATGCGAGTATGCTGGCATGTGCTGTGCATCTCAGCGACCAGCAAGCTCTCTGAGCAGCATGCAGCGATTTAGCTCAATTTAGCTGCGAAGTCTAAGCCCCAAAACGAGGGCTTCGGCCAGCAGGCCAGCTGCGGCAAGCTCGACTTCTTTGCGTCCTTGACTGCTCCCGTGGCCGAGAATACTGGCACGACTGGAGTCGAAGCTGCGGTCCGCAGCTTCGAACTTGAGGGCCGTTCCCCTTTGGGCCGAGATCTCTTTGAGCAGGAGGTCGCATTCTACGCCAGCTCTATGTCCGGCAGTGTTCTGTTTGCTCCCTGTACCACGAACGGAAGGCCCGCCGATTCTGATGCAGAAGACCAGCCAAGCAATCACCTGCAAACACGTGCACTATAGTGGCACCTGGAAAGAACTAGCTCAGGCAGAAGTGCTCATGCATGGACTGCAAGGACGTCTGCGCTCGCACCTTCAAAGCTCGACAACAGCCAGACAAGAGCTCGGAGTGCATCACGGGCACATCGAAAGCTGCCCTCTCGAAGGCTGCGCCGAGCCATGTCTTCCTTCTCCTCCACACCCTGGGCCGGCCTCGTATGCGAAACCTTAGACCTTCCTCCCCTGACGCGAACTTGAACCGCCTAGTTGGACGAAAGCCTTCACTTGCGATATCTGTCCTGGAGATTGGGGGAGGGGGGCCGGCTCTACAGGTGAATTGTACTGCTGCGACGGGCTACAGGCATGTACTGAAACTCGAAGTCGCCAAGCAGCTCACAAACCCTCGCACCAACTCTTACACTTAAGTAAGCAGCTGGTTCAGTGCTCTGGTTCAGTCGAAATGCGCCTCCGCGAAATGGAATGACAGCCCTCTGGAGCCCAACACCAATGTGGCAATCGTCTTGGCCCGCGGGACATGGTAAGAAGAGGTGACAACAACCACGTCAACCGGAGCACTCCCTTGGATTCCAAAGCTTGCATTGCAACTTCAACCATTGCTGCCATCAATGAGAAATAAGGGAACGCTGAGAGCCCAACTATTACGAGCCAGACGCTTCTTGTCGATGCATCGAAGAAACGTGGTGAAATTGGCCAAGGTATCGATCGCTTCCTAAGCAATCTCAAACCAACAAACCCCGACAAATACATGGAAAAAGCTCAAAAGATCAGCTAGAATGCAGGTTCGGAGTCTCTGTCCAACTGCATGACCTTTTGCAGCTGCAGCAAGTCAACGCCAGGGAAGCGACTTATCGGCTTTTGATGGACCGCAGCTTCTGGTGCAAAGTCGGATTGGAGCTTGAAGTGCCCGCTGGAGAAGAATGCAAGCGCATTCGGTTGGAGCTCCAAGCGCGCACCAAGCCTTGCGCCCACAATGTCACGACAGGGTTCGCCGCCACAAATCAGGATCCACTGCGTGCCACTTGCAATTGCAACTTCTGCCACCTCAACCTCGGTGGTCAGGGGAAACACAGTCTACTAGATAACGTTCGAAGCTCTGCTTCGGCTCCCTTCACGCACCACCACAAAGGCAAATCTGCTGAAAAGACGGCATGGCACGGAATCAGATGTCTCAAGACCTGTGGCACTTCCGAGTAATGCTTGAGATTGAATTTCCCTGCCTGTGCCTGGACACATCCTACAGTACCACCACAATTCTTTTCTCAAACATCCGCTCCCTGTATCCTGGAAGTTCATGACTACGACTGAAGGCCAGCCCAACCTGATCTCCAAGCGCTGGCTTTGCGGCTGGCAGACTTGCAACTCGCACCTGCATAAGCCAATATGCCTCAGCTTGAAGCTGTGGGGAAGGTGGTGGTGTCGTTTCGAGAAAAAAATGCTGATGCCAAGCTGCTTGCCACGTACAATGCCAATGTGAGGGTGCCCACGTGCAGTGGCGTGGCCGCTGCAGCCTCGCTAGATACTCATTGCTGTGCCATGCTCTGAGGTCTCATGACAACAGCTATGATTTGGAGTTTAGAACAGCAAAGGAAACCGAAAAGGCAAGGCTGGCAGTGCCGACCTTGTCGCTATGCGTGCTGCATCCAGCAAATGAGTGTGCACCACTGGGACGCTGAAACGAAACAGCAGCCAAGCATCTAGCGCAAAGGCAAAGCTGAAGGCAAGCAGGTTGCACCGAACAGCCACATTCATGGAGATGCCTGGCTTTCTGACATGAAAGTCTGCATCCTGATGCTGTGGCTTCAGGCCGGCATGAGCCACCCCAGCTGGCAGGACAACTTGGAACCAATCGCAGAGTTCTGGGACGAGCCGAAATGCCGGTCACAATACTTACGAAAGGGGCACCTTGCTTCGAGCAACCCTCTTCCCAAAATGTCGAAGACTCCACACCGGGGCATCCCCAATTAGGGTCTGGAGATGTCTCCTACCTGGCACGCGGCAGTCATGCAGCAACAACTGCACGCTGTTGTGCACCAGGCACATTTTGCCAGTTCGAGTCGGAGCTCAAGCCAGGTCAGCCCTTGCGAAGCTGCAACATGAAACGACTGTTGTGACTACAGCTGTACATCAAGTTTCATGCCAGAATCTTTCACAGAGTGCCCGGAACGAGGGAAGTGTCGCCCCAGAAGAAGAACTCACAGTGCCGCTCCTTATACAGCGCAGCATAACACAGCTCAGAAGCACAGGATTGCACCAGAAAGTCCCACAGCCCAGGAGCTGATTCTGGTGGCAAGTTTAAGCCTTCTTCCAAGAGCCCACGCTGTGTGGCCTCGAGTCTCTCTGCCTGCATCGGGCGCAGGCACAGAAACAGTCCTCTAGTCTCTCCGGGAGGTCTCCCGATGCAGACTTCTTTTCATGGTGGCAAGTAAACACGCTTCGCTGAGGTTGCGGGGTGTGCGATCACGCGTACGTGAGGAAGGGAAGCACGAAGAGCCGGGTAGGTGGCATGGCGGAAACTAAACTAGCAGCACATCACTTCAAGGCGGATGTTATATATCTGACTCTATTATCCCAAAACCAACCATTGCCGAGCATCATCACCGTATCCTAGTACCAGGTCTTGTTGTTCGTCGAAAAATGCCTTCACTATGTGATGTGCCGCAACGAAGCAATGTGCCGCACCTCTATGAGCCTCGCAGCCCCGTCTGGCCAGCGAAGGGTCTCCCGGCGTACTGCAGCGAAAACCATGCGGCCGATGCGGAAGCCAACCTCCCTGGCGGCTGTCTCGTTCCAGGCCTGTCGTAGCACTGAAGCTGACATTCCAACATTCCAAAACACTCCCAAACCCCCTGGGGCTCTCGGATACCGGCCTGCCCTTCACCTCGTCCCCTAGCTCGGCGCATGCTCATCTCAAAGAGCTCGGCGAGACCCTTCGACGACAGCTTCAAGAGCGCCGCCCCCGTAATCTGCGGGGGCAGGACCAGGTACTTGAACCGTCCGTTGTCTACGGTCCTGATCCACCTGCGCAGGGTCACTTTGCTGCAGAGCCTTACCGATCCGTGCCGGAACCAGGGGCCCCAGGCCTGTTAACATCCTCCTCTGACCACTCCCAAATTGGTATCGATGCTGCAAAATCGACCAAGGGCAAGTCAACGGAGCATTCAGCACGCAAAGTCGACAATGCTGCTGACCTGAAAGCTGCGGCCGCGGCGGCTGCACATGGGCAAGTTTTCGGGTTGTTCCGTCAGTGGTTTTGGGGCAGAGAACGACAAAAACGAGGTCAGCACGTCGGCGGAATCATCATCATTCTCACTGCAGACAACTTCCAGACAGAACCACCACCACCACCACCACAACCACCACTGCTACGAACACTACTCATACTACTACGGCTCGAATTGAAATAAGTTGTACATCTGGGTCCCACGCATCTGTGTCACTTGCAGGAGAGAGTTTGTAGAATGCAACAGATCAGTCGCAGTAGGAGACACCGTCGAAAGAATGATGGTCCTGCAACACATGCCACTTCCGAAAGCTAGATCCTGCAACGTTAAGACACAGGACTGTTTCGGTCGGCTTGCGTAAGGCTTACGCACTGTCAAAGGTCCTGTGCTCCGGATCTGTGAAACACGAGCGCAACACCTCCCGAGCTGAGACATGTGACCAAGGAGCCAAAAACAAGGCAACAGTGCGCGGGACTTGAGACCAGGCCTGGGTGAGTCGGCTTGCTCGGTACGGTGCTCGAGCAGTCCGCTGGCGTGCAATGCGCGCATGGGCCCGGAAGCAGTCCTGAAGGGGCTGACACTGCTTGCAGACTCGTGGAGACGCATGCTCACAACATGTCCTCCTACTCATATCTACTCGACAGCACATGCTAAGGAGATCAGGCTAATCTCGGATGCTGGAATGCCTTTCGCAGGCTGGCCATGGGGGAAGTGTGCCTAGCTCGCGTGACTGTGGATGGTTCATGACTGGTATTTTCACGCCAGGGCGTCGCGAGGTGCGACAGTAAGGTGTCAACCTGCACCTTCAGCACTTGCTTTCCCATGCCAATGAGACACTCTGATGTACTTGCATCCTGCTGTTGCGCAACCTTGTAAGCGGTCAAACGTTGCTGGAGGTCAGACTTTGCCAGACATCCCTACAATCCCTGTGCACTCGACGTCCCGGCATATCGAACCGTGTGCTCCCGACAGCGCAGCTGGGCCGCCTCCAGTTTCATGTTCGGTAGTTTGCAATGATGGCATCTGAGGGTTTTAGGGTCATGGGTTCAAGCAGGCGGGAGTGCAGCAAGCAGCTGATGGGTTGTATGAGCCGATTTCCCGATGTCGTGTCTGGCATACTACTCTGCATTTACCGACAGGTCCCACGCGAGGCTCTGAAAACCAGACGAATCGGATAGGCGCCGGAAGCAACAGAGATTCCAGATCTTTTTGCCGCTCACCGGGGGTAGTATATGGTGACATTGGCTGTCAAAGTTGCAGAGTTTAAATGCGCGACATCTCGGAGAGTTGCTCGGCTTCCGCTGAAGAGCGGAGCCTTCCGCTTCGGTGCCTTTGCTAATCTTTCTCTGCTCTGGGCTCTGCCTCCAAGGCCAAGGCGGCCAAGGCGGCCAAGGCTCACAGTTTAGGTTGCACGCAAGGGTGTCTTTCAGTTGAACCTCGCCCTGTAGGTCGCGACGCAACCTGTAAGCCTCGATGCCACGTTTTGATTCTCCTCGACCAGCAAGCCAACTACGCAACATACTACGGTGTTCTGCGAAAGCTGTAAACGCGCCAATTCTTTGTTCGACAAAGAAACTGTCGTGAAGCTGGTCATCCAGGCCTTCAGTGCCATCAAGGATTTGTTGATTTCTGCAAAGTCGCGGTGCTGCTGCGCGGTCATGTAGCGTGTCTCATAATTACGCTCGGAGCCAGCTAAATCCACGAAGCGGATTGTCCCAAGACCACCAATGTCAAGGACGCATATGGCCTCGGACTCACAATGACTCTCTCCACTGCATCGCAAGCTGCGAAACTGTGGACACGAAGTATCACAAAAACAATCTTCTGGGCAAGAAAGTTGCATGGCTGCGTGAAGACAATGAGTTTCTCTCTGTTGCTTCCGATCGCCGAAGCTGTAGTGCCTCCTCTAACAGTTCAGGAAGCTCGGAAGAGATCGCGGTGAGCTTCGCAGCACCCCTGGCAGCTGTTGGAGGCTTCAAGTCAAGATAAAAGGCACACTCTGAAAAGTCCTGACATGCACCCGCTCTTCGCCGTCTGATCGCAAATTAACTTCTTTTCGTTGCTGAAGCAGATCAAAGCCTCAGGCTGTCCGTGGCGATGTCAAACGATAACTTTCCAAGAACTGACATCGGTAACAAGGCACATTTCTTGCCAAGGATTTCGAAGAACGTCACCGAAATCGTTCGACCCGCCAGATCGCACCCAATCCGCTGCCAGCACGCATTGAATGTGTGGGTCTTGCCGGTCCCAGTCTGTCCGTAGAAAATGATGGTAGCCTGTGCGCAGCCGGTGTGGTGCTGGAGGCGCGCTCACAACAAAAGACCTCAAACCCTCCGACCCACAGGCCATACAAGCCTCGCTTCCATTCAGAGATGTCACCAAAGGCCGTACCTTTTCGACATGAGTTGCCCTAGGCCACCGCACTCGCTCTCATCATGTTAAAATGCAGTTGGCTGCAGTGCACATGAAGCACTGCAACAGCTGGATGACAGCCAAAGGCTTTGCCAAGTCGAATCTGCATCGTTGCTGCAAAACACCGATCAACACAAATGCGGACGTCAGCTAGTCACGCTGTCACCCTGGTCGAAGGACCCCACAGATTGCCCGAGTTGTCAAGTTAAGCTCAGTTGAGCATCTGCATCGTGGTAAAATTCTGCATCCGAGACATCGGACCCGTACGCTCGATCCTTGGTTCCAGCGCTGCCATGGAAACTCAGCACCACGACAAACAATGCACAAAACATGGCAAAACTTCAAGACTCTAGACATGGCGCCAGCGTAAATTTCTTATGTGTCATCTCCAAGCGCCGGCCAGTTCTGTGTAGTCGTCCATCATGGCAGACAACCCGGGCATCTCGCCTCCACAGCATCAATGTGACTGACCATTTCCTTCATTGACAAATTCAAGAACGGGCAGTGGAAACTCGCACCTGGAAACCGAAACGCAATCCCATTCTCCAGATGCCACTTCAAATTTCAACAGTGGTCTCTTCCGAGCAATGCACCTAAGCTGAACTTAACGTTTGCTGCACTCCCGGATGCAAACACGATATTGAAACTGGCGGCCGCGACAAGGCACACCATGGTCGGGCTGGGGTCTGGCAATGATTTGCGCCAACCAGCTAGAAAGGCCACGGCTTGGCCTTGCCCGAAGCAGAAATCGGCCACACGCTCCCAAATGTTCAGATCCAAATCCTCGGGTCGCAGATGCGGAGACAAATACCAACAGGTTCGCTCACTGACGTGCCAGCCAGAAACTCTCAGCGGCGTTGACTGGCAGGAAAAGTGAGCGTCGAGCAAGAGCTTCAATCCTTGAACGAAATGTTCATTCACATTGCACACAGATGCATACTTCTTCACCATAGTAATTATCTCATTCAAACACAAAATCAGGAAGCCCACGCAGAAGACCGCAGCTTGGTCCATGCTTGGCCACAGAACAGCAAAGTGGCGGAACAAGTCGGCTTGTGCAACTCGCAAGCGATTGCGGTGAAGCAAATACCTCTCAAGAGGAAAACTTCTGAATTTCACCGGCGCAAACACACAAGAATCCGTGTCCGCAGTGCGCCACCGACAGCCCCGAGTGCAGCAGATCGAACTGCATTGCAACCTTCTGTTGCACACACTGATACACGCTGCCTCTGTCATCTGTCAACACTACGAGCACATGCCACACAAAGTGGATAAAGTCGTCTCGAACAAGTCGTGTTTTTTGTGTACAGGCTCCAAACATGTCGTCGCTACTTGTAGCTTCGTATTTCAATCCCTGGTCCTGTATGCTATCGTCGCGGTCCTGTGCCACATGCACCATGCATCCCTGTGCCGGGCCGAGTAGTAGTTACAGTAGCTGGATAGTTGACATGCAACTCCGAACTTGCGACTGCGGCAATGCGAATCATACTATCATACTAGTATCTATCGTGTGGCCTTGTTTCAGCCAGCTATGCTGTGTTTACTTCTTTTTTGAATACCTTCGCGAGTACACCTTGCATCCGTTTCGAAGCGAACAAACCGTGCGTAAGCCTCCCCTTCAAGTCTGGCCACAAGCAGAAGAAGAAACAGAAACGTGCCAAGCTCAGGTTCAACGCGTAGGACTGCAAAGAATGCAACTTCTTCCAAATTTAAGTGTGCACCGTGAGTCTTTGCTAGCGGCCTTGCACGGTCCTTCTGCTTGTAATGGATTTGAAATTTGGGCCCTCCGTGTGTTCTCACTTTCACCCTGATATCAAAGACTTCAAGCTCTTCGATAGCCGCCTGCATTGCCCCACTCCCCCCGACATTGCCTTAACCGGCTCCGAAGTTTTACCACAGTACCACTCAGTCACCACGCAGTCCCGTCTTACAGCCGCAGACAAATGAAGCGGCTGGGCCCTGCGTCGGCGGCGAGGTCGAGCACGGTCCAACACTGGGCCGTCGCTTGACCCCCGGCAGTGGAGCCGCGTGCGGCCAGCCGTGCCGGCAACGGCGAGCTGGACGGCACTGGCGCCCCACAAAATACGAGGTCGAGGAGCCTGCGGTCGTCTGCTGTGGGACGCCTGCTGCGGTCGTGCGGGGGAAACACTGCTGTGGCACGACTTGACCTTCGGCTCCGACGGCCTCTCGCGCGCCCAATTTGCACTGCGCACCCCCGCACCTCGCTTGGCCCGTGTGCTCACCCTCGGGGGCGTGTCGCACAACTTGCTCTTCGTGATGGTGGTCTCGGCCTTCACAGTGCTGCCCTGCCAGCGACAACAGTGTTCTGGGCGTCCTGGGTTGATGTGGTTCCCGTCCCCGGCACGCGGGACATCGCGGGACGCAGCGATAATCAGACTCCCAGGTGCCTGCCTTTAACGAACGCACGGATGTTCAGTGGTCGCCGGTGCAGGACCTTTTGCAAGCTTCCGATGCGCGTGCCGAGGCTGCTTTCGAGGTCCTACGGTGGGCTGACTTGCCCCAACACGGGCCGGCACAAGCCGCTGACGAGGCTGACAGCGCCATGTCGCTCAACTGCGGAGCATCGCCGCACTGTTGGTCCTGCAGAGCGAGTTCTCACTCCATTTTTGAGCGCCGGAGTCCGCTCGATGTCTTGGGCGACGTGGCCCGACCACGTCGCCGCCTGTCCCCGGTCTTCAGGCACATGGTCCGCTCGAACACGCGGCAGCTCGGATTAAGCTGGTGTTACAGTTCCTACTACGTTCCTTGTCCGAGACCTGAACCTCGATGCCTCCAAACATGATAAGCGTCGCATCGAAGTCATCGCCAATGCATTGTTGGTGTCGCCACTCAATTGTGCCGTTGTGCCCCGTCGCCGTCGTGGCAGCACCGCGGGCGCGAGCCTTGGCTGAGGCACGTGGCACGCCGGGCCAAGGAGCAGGGTTGTAACATTACAAGGTACATCAGAAGGATCCAGGTTTCTAACGATAGGTTCAGGTTAGGGGTTTGGGTGTAGTCCCAGGTATTGGGTTTACTAACGAGAAGTTAAGATTAGGGGTTTGGGTGTAAGGCAAGGGTTCCTTCAAGGTTACGAGGTACATTAGAATGTTCCCGGGTATAGGGTTCAGGAACGAAAGGTTTAGGATAAGGGTTTTGGTGTGGGGCAGGGGTAGATCAGAAGGGTCCAAGTCCAGGCTTTTGGGTTTTTAGTAACGAAAGGTTTTTTTTTTTCACGGACCTTTTTCCTCAGCGTGCTGCGTCCGGTCTGTGGCTCCTACGTCTTACAAGCTATCCGCCCGCGTCCACCTGCGACTGCGGCGGTGGGCGCAAGGGAAGGCGACTGGGTCCTTCGGCCTCGGCCAAGTCAAGGAGGCGGTCGAGGGGTGGGCCCGTAGCGCAGGGCGCATGCGGTGGTTGCGG